ATCTTTAAACCAAACGATTCTTATTTTATGTAAAATTTGTTTTTTTTTATAGTTTAATCATCTATATCGTCTCGATAATCTAATCTAGAAATTATATAATTTTTAAATAAAATCGAGTCGACGTTGTAGAATATAAAATGTATTTCAACTCTTTTCCATCAAATACAATGAGAGGATGAAGAACTGAATTCTTGATGATCTTTTTTTTTAACCTCAAATGGTATTTATCAGCTGAAAGAAGTATAAAAAAGAGCAGTAGGACTACAATAAAGTTATTGTTAATTATTAAATAAGAATGATTAAAAATAAAGCAGAAATTAATTTGCATAATAATAGCAAAACGAGTCGTGAATTCCATCTTTATGCGCATGAAATGAGCATTGGAGAGAGCAGGTTGTGAGCGTTTTTTTAATGTGCGCCTTCTTATTTTCTCTATTTTATTTTTTAACAAATAATAAAAGAAAGAGGGTTCCCACAATAAATGCTTTGTCCAACTACTTCAATTTCATATAAAAAAGAAAAAAAGGATTTTTTTTTAAGTTTTTTCGATATAATTTTGATGAGGGTATTAAATAGTATCCACACAATAAATAGATAGAGTGATTAATGAACGGAGGATTTTGATTCCAGTTAAAAGCCACTAGAAAAACTGGAAATAATTGGTCAAACCGTATAAAGTGGGGTTCTTTTATTTCAAAGTTGTTAGTTCTATAATTCGCCGTGGAAATTCAGAAGCCCCCTTCTTCCAATTCCAACTGATCATCCATCATTAATGCCGCACAACCCAGATGATTTTTCATGGAGAATGACCTTCAATGAAAGCTGCGGCTGCCTCTCCACACCCACTCAGATTTGTAAGCTTTTGTTTCTATTTCCCCCTCTTTGCTCGTAGATTCATCTCTTTCTCTGTTGCAAAATGCAAACCCAGAAGCTCCCGGGTTTTGCACAAACGCAAAGATTCCGATAGCATTTCTCCGGGTTTATACCCATTTCAAATATCTGTTGCAAAATGAGGAAATCATCCTACCTTTTTGATTTCTGAACATTGGGCATTGGATAAGTTTGGATGGGTTCTTGACAAATCCCTTAATAGATGCCAAGTGGGATCCCTTCTCTGTTCATAATCGTTGGAACTTTATATAAAGCTTCTATTGCCTCTGGTTCTCAATGAAACTTCTTCTGATTGGAACATTGAAAAGGTTTCGGTATTCGGTTTTCTGAAGAATTCTAACTTGGTTGACCTCTGTAATGGCGGATTGCTGCATTGTCTAATTCTCTAAGTTTAACGGACTTGTCTTCAGCAATGTCGGAGAAAAGCAGGCTTCCGACTAGGTTGTTTTTGTATCTGATAACGATATCTATGTTTCTTTTGATCCTTTCTTCTGTATTCATTCTACAATCCAACTACGATTCATTCTTTCCCAGCTCAGTACTTAAGCTTATTGTTGTTAATAATACTTCAAATTATCTAAAACCCAATGTGGAGAGTGAACCAGCGGAGCTTCCTCTGCAAGCTGTGGAAGCTCCCCCTGTGGAATCGAAAGAAGCCATTAGAGATAGGGATATTGATTATCCAGTTTCCAACTATAGCAAGGATGAAGATTCTGTAGAAAACCAGACAGACTTGGCCTGTGATCCTGCTCGGGCTCGTTTGAGAGTATATATGTATGATCTTCCACCTCTGTATCACTTTGGATTATTGAGTTGGAAGGGAGAGACAGATCAAATCTGGCCTAATGTCAGTAACAGAAGTCAAATTCCATCATACCCAGGTGGGCTGAATTTACAGCACAGTATGGAGTATTGGCTTACGCTTGATCTTTTATCATCGAACGTTCCGAATGTCAATCATACTTGCACTGCAGTTAGAGTGAAGAATTCAAGTCGAGCAGATGTGATATTTGTGCCATTTTTCTCATCCTTGAGCTACAACCAGCATTCTAAGTTACATGGGAAGGAGAAAATTAATGTGAACAAGATATTGCAGCATAGGTTGATCCAGTTTTTGTTTAGTCAGAAGGAGTGGAAGCGAACAGGTGGAAAGGATCATCTTGTAATTGCGCACCACCCAAATAGCATGTTGGATGCAAGAAAGAAGCTCGGCTCAGCCATGTTTGTGCTTGCAGATTTTGGAAGGTACCCAGCTGCAATTGCAAATGTTGAAAAAGATATTATTGCTCCTTACAGACATGTAGTAAAGACCGTCCCTAATTCCAAATCTGCCTCATTTGACGAGCGTCCTATTTTGGCGTATTTTCAAGGAGCTATATACAGGAAGGATGTAAGTCTTTCTGTGACTTCGAGTAACTTATTGATGTGTTATACTTTTCTAAGTTCTCTCTTTATAGTCTTATATTCTAGCAATCRTATCTACTTTGTTGCCTGGATTTTGTTCTGCATTGGTGTTTGATATCATTGTCTAAATAGTAAAAATTCCTTTGTTGGTTGATGTGTAGTGCATATGATATGATCTCTTTTATGATGGACTTGTTTATAATCTTATTTTTCTGTTACAAAGTGCTCGAACCGATAGAAATAGCCTTCTTCTTTTTTAGCCTATGTATAAACTTGATGTTTATAAGATAGGTTGGTAAGATAAACTTGAAAGTTTTGTTTCTTAAAAAAAAAAAAAAAAAAAAAAAGATAGGTTGGTAAGAACAAGGCCATGAACTGGAGTATTACAAAGTTCTTGCCTCTTGGTAAGAAATGTGCTATGCTTTAACTAAATCATTATGATCACAAATTAGATGCATAATTGAACGTTTTTCTGCTGTAGCCAACTGTTGATATGCAGACGAGAAACAATCTTGAGAAGTGTTCGAGATTAACTATTGAATGCTTAATTGGTTTCATCTCTTCTGATGGTATCATGGAATGATCAATCCTGTTATAGACATGGGAAAAGCCAATGACACAAAATGAAATATCTAGTATGAACTAAAGAATTATCCTTTCTTACAGAAAATTATTTTTAAGAATTCCTCCATTTTATGATTCAAGGAACAATAAACCTCAAATTGCATTTCCTCTGTTGTGTTTGGTTTCTACTGTTGCATTGCGCAACTTTATCACCCTTTTCCTGGGTCCTAACGAAACGTGTTCGTAAAATTTTCTGATAACGTTGAAGTTGATGAAAATTATACTAATTTTCTGTTTGAATTCATATTCAGGGAGGAGTAGTTCGCCAAGAACTATATTACCTTCTGAAAGATGAGGAAGATGTTCATTTTACATTTGGAAGTGTTAGAGCGAATGGTATCAACAAGGCAGGCCAAGGAATGGCAGCATCCAAGTTCTGCCTCAATATCGCAGGAGACACCCCATCATCGAATCGTCTTTTTGATTCTATTGCAAGTCATTGTGTTCCTGTTATCATAAGCGACGAAATTGAGCTGCCATATGAAGATGTCTTGGACTACACCGAGTTTTGTGTCTTCGTTCGAGCAGCTGATTCGATAAGGAAAGGCTATCTACTGAATCTTCTTCGTGGAATTGGACGAGAAAGGTGGACGAAGATGAGGGATAGAATAAAGGAAATTGTGCCTCAGTTTGAATATCAGTATCCATCTCAGAAAGGGGATGCTGTCGACATGATTTGGCAAGCAGTGTTGCGTAAGGTGTCGAAAATAAAATTTAATCGGAATAGGAAGAACAGGTATAGTAGATCTCAACTTCTCCTAAAGAACAATTGATATTGAATTCAATAAACATAGGAAGTTTTGTAGTCACTGAGATCTATCATCCCTTCTGCACCATATTGCTGTGATCATGGATCTTTTTTTTAACTCAAAACAGACAAGTTTTGAGATTAGAGGCTGTCTAGAATTAATCTTTACTCAAATTTTCATTCTCTGAACTTGTAAAGTTCATTGCAGATTTGGATCTCATCATCTTGAAAATCGTCCTCAGCTTTTTTACTGCATACATTATTACAGGACTTTCTTTTAAAAACACAAGGAAAAGTAACAAATTGTGGAGATCAAAATAAGTGAAGAAATAAAGTCAAAATTCATGCACTAAAATGATGGGGGGAAAATAATCAAATCTTGGTTCTCTTAAGCATGTCTTCGATTTACATCATCACTTCTCTAAAATCCAACTATTAAGAACTGTGATTACTCAAGTTTTGATCTTTTTTTTAGGTTTCAATCTTCAACATGATAACTTTATACTTGATTTAACAAGTCCCCTCTCAGCACAAAACTTAACGTAAAGTTTAAAAAATTAAAGCATGAAAAAGAATTTAGAAAACATGGACTACAGAGCATCTACCTATTTGTATGACAGAAGAAACCTTTCTTTTTTTTCTTTGTTATACATTACATTACATCCAAATAAACCTGTTTGTAGTGTTAGAGCTTGAGTTTGTACAGCACTGAACCTACTTACCCATATAGATGCACTCTTCCACTCTACAAGAAAGCTACCAACAATCTTTGATGAACTGTCTGGGATTTCATCTTTTCATCAACAGGGCCTTCCACCACTCTGTTTTTCTAGGAAAACAAACAAACACGAACTTCTTTGTATCTTCTTCATTTCAATCTCACCTCAACATTTGTTGTGAATGGGATCGGATCCTCTTCGGATTCTTCTCTTATTCAATTGGGTGGGATCTAAACCGGTCGAAGGTGCCGGTGCAAAAGCCACTGTTCTCTGCCAATCATCCCCAAGAGATACATCCTTCACAAACTTGAAGCTGTTAAAAATGGGAACTTGTGGTTTCTCCCATCTGAGTGCTAGATCAATGTTTGTCAACCCACTGGTTCCTTCTGGTTGAAGAGCCAAAAACCCAATCCAAAGAAGTAGAATGGCTGCCCTATGAATCAAAAACCCCATTTTTACTTGAAACCAGAAGAAGGATGGAAGTGTTTGTGTTGAGTGAGGAGGGGATGAGGAGAAAGAAGGATGTGTCTGTGTTAAGGATGGCTCATAGTTGTAAGAGAAGCCAAGAGATCATCTTTTATGGCATAGGATGACCAAAAAGCAAAAGACATAATTGGGGCCCAGAACAAGAACATGTAGGGAAATCTTAAGATTCATCAAATGATAAGCCTGCAAAAGAAGCAAGATGAGGCTGGTAAGAATAGAAGTACTTTGACAGGTTTGAATTTAAAAGGGGAAAAGAAAAGAAAAGAAAAGATTGAATGGAACATTATCTTTAGACAGGGAATAGGGATCTTTTTCCTTGTGCTATTCAATATTCATTTCATTAGTTCCTTACATCCCATTCCAATTTTGGGATTGCCCTTTTTTACCAGACCAAGACTGGCCTCTCAGTTACCTGTCGTTCCATGTCACCCGACCACAAATGCCAATCTCAAAACATTATTAGAACAGATGATAAGTGCTCTTACGGTTTAGTCTATGAAAACATTCTCATAATCATGTGAGAATAAAAGGACACGAAACCCCCTTTTCCTATGTAAAATATCTCTTTTTGGACTGCAGAGAGAGAGAGAGAGATCTGAAATTAATACACACAGAGCAATAAAGCAAATAAAACCAGAGATGGGAACAGAGAGCTTCTACTAGAAAGAAAGAAAGAAGCAAGCTTTCCTTTCCTGCAAGAAAAATCAGTCTTGGGTTCTCATTATATGCTCAAATGGAGCTCTTTTATGCTTTTTTATCTGTGCTCTCTTTTGTTTGCCCAACCCTCGACTGAGACCTAACTCCTTTATTTTTGCCCTTTAAAACCTATGAAGACCGACCATCTTTGAATCACCCTCCCTCCTCTCTAATTCCTTCTATTCTTCAACTTAGTTTACGTATGCTTTCAGCTTCCACAGCCTGCGTTGTTTATTTAATAGGCTCCTTTTATTAAAGATCATGCAAGCTAAAGTGTATTCCAATTTCCAATACATATGTTATAGCATGATAGCCAAAAAAAAGCCTGCCCTTTTATTATGTATAGTTGGGGTCACTCGTACACCAATTTTACTCTTCCCAACTAGGATCGAATAATAGATTGCTTGGCCATATACGGTAAAGTTACAGATGTAATAAAGAAATGAACCATTTGGAGAGCCTTGTGGCAACATATTCATTAACTAAATTTATTACAACCCAACAACTTTAATTTTTGCCAACTTCATCATAACTCAGTAATTAGATATCGATGGTAAAAACCTCGGAACAGAGCCATCACTGATTCTATATACATACAACTCAGAAATTGAAGATGACAGAATGCAAGAGACAGGTTTAAGCAGTACTAAAAAAACTTACACAGGAGGATGCTAAGAGGCATGTAGTAAATTACAGTTTACTGATATTTTTCTAAGGAAAAAACCAAGGTGAAGTACAGTAGAATAAATTTGGGTTGAAGTTAATATTTTATATATAATTCCTCTCTGCACTCATAAAGCAACATCATTATTGGAGTGGCTCCGGATGAGGAGTAGCTACGGGCCCTGGAGCAAGGGTAAACTGCAGGCTCTGACCTTGTGCTGCCTGCAGCATAAATGCAACTTCAGTTGCTGCAAGAGCAGCTGCTTCCTGTAAACGATCAAAGAACAAGAATTCAAGTTTTTCAGAAACATTTGAAGAATGAAAACCGAAATATCTTTTGAGAGAATTATGATAATTATGTGAATTTGAAACATAAAACCAGCTCTTCCAACATCATCACATCGCACCTGTCTTTGTCTTCGACGCTGTAGTATGCTGATGGCCCATGCCATGATGTAACAAGGAAGAAGAAAACCAGCAGCTCGCAGCAATAAAAGCTGTCAATTTACATAAAAGTTATCAACAACCAGTATACAAGCATTATAGTACTGAAGGTAAAAAAATTTGACGTCTTACTTACCGAGAAGAAAGTGTAAGCATCATCTTCTCCGTCACCGTTTGTAAGGTACAGAGCATGCCTCAACAGTAAAAGAGCCAATAACTGTCAAGAAACAACAGTAATAATCAACACAATGGTGTGAAAAACCAATCTTCTGTGATAAAGTTAACAGAGAGAAAGAGATCATTGATATAAAACTACAGAGAACTTCTTGATGTTGACAGACTTCAACCAACTCTGGATTAACAAAAAACAGTATCTAACATGGGAAATTAGTCAGAAGATCATGAGTCTCACAATAAGAGCAGCAGATCGGCAAAATGCAGTTCCATTCGCACTGGCATCAGCATATTCATCATATTCTGCCTCAAGAAAGTGGCGTTCTGCCATTGCCAAAAGTCGTGGATCGTGCAAATCTAAGGCAGTTTCAGAGACTGCCCAACCTTCACTGCAAGACACGTGTGAGGAACAGAAAAATCAAGGATTAGACCTTCTAATGACAAAACAGAGAGGGGGAATTCGAAAAGCAACAAGAAGTCAAATTGAATCAGTTATCCAACAAAGAAAAGAGTAAATAATACAACCACCTCTAAAACTATGTGTTAGTATAAATTCATGAGCAAACTAGGAGAATCAAAACTTGCCTGATATCGATGGTGGCATCTTCTGTGTGAGGGGGAGGTGTGGGCAAGGTATAACCAGGCTGATAATTCTGAAAACAAGTGGATTAATACATCAACATGTTTATTTGACCTTCCCATCAAAGAAAATATTTCCCGATACAAGGAGAAAAACTTTAGAATGAAGATGTGATTAACTATTAACAGCTCGAACTACTACACATACTTCCTTCAGTAAATGAGGGGGAAAGTTTTGCATCCATAGAAGTTGGCTTTTAGCCATCGTCAATGTTTCCCGAACATTCAACCACAAGCATTTATTGTACGAAACATCAGAGAATGCAACATCGTAATAATATTTTCTAATGTACTAGCACACATGAATGATCAACCCAACCACCATCTGCATCATTTTTCATGAGCCTGACGCATTTGCTTGATAATACCAATCATTCACTGAATACAAAGATAAAGCCATTTTTGTAGTTTCCAAATAGAAAGATACATTCTTTCTACTAACTTCTTGATATGACTGGTTGAACCCCAATCAGCCAGAAACATCCCTTTCTAACTAAATAAAACAACTAATATTCCAGATTTTCTAATGATGGTGATAAAATTTACCTGATGACAGATTTCACAAGTTATATCTCCCTTTTCATTGCACCATCGCTGGACACATTTCCTGTGAGCATACTGTAATAGGAAAAAGTATTAAATAGAATTATAAGCATCTAAAACAGATTAATTGTAACTGTAATAATGATGATAATAATCAGACTTCTCCAAGGGGTCATGGGCGCAGGGCTTGACCAAACAACAGATAGAACAAATGCAACTCAAAGGTGTGGCTTGAAATGTGGTGTGTCCCCTTGTCAAGAAAACTACCACAACCTAAAAAAAGGTTTCTTTCCTGATTACTTCCAACACCAAGAACATGTTACACATTGCCATGGGATTCCAACTAATAGAAAAATACAGATGAAAATAATAAGAATTGGAAATATAATCTCTTTTTATCATGCTTTCTTCCCAAACAGTTCATGTCAGGGAAAAGTCTGCTTCACATTTTGCAAAATAGAAATAATGCTCAGAACCAATAAAGACAATCATAATTACCCTCTATTCCGGCCCTTTTAAGTCAAGAGACCAAGGCAACCATCTAAGAATTCACACTTAATAATGAGTATTACCATAAATCTATAAGGCACTGATATATGCTAGTGCTACATTAGCAAAATAGACTCTTCTTATGATGAAATTGTCTCTTGACTAGAGAACCATTTTGTTAAACTATACGGACCAAGGCAATATAAGTTAGCAAACGGTACCTTCAAGCTGCCACTGCAAGCACAAGGAATCTCCAAATTCTTAATACTATCCTCTTCTTGACATATGCGACATTCAACTGTCTGAATAAGGGGGTCATCTTCAGATCCATCATGTTCATCCGCATCTTCAACAGAAATAGCACAAACAGGTGGCTCTGAATTCTGAGAAGATGAAGGTTCTAAAGAAGATCCTGGAGCAGTAGTTCCTTGCAGCAATGGCAAACTTTCAGATGTTATGAGGCGGTCCACACATAAAACCATGTGATCACCCATTCTTGCACCAAAAAAAGCTCCTGCTTCACCAAATACAAGACTCAAATACATTATTTCAACAAATGACAAAAGATTGCCCTTACTTCACAGCTCACAGAAAGAAAGCTACTGAAGCTGTTTTATATGGGGTAATTCAAAGAAATTAAACAAATAATAATGTAATTGTAAAGAAAATGAACGAGAAAATGAAATGATTCTCTAAAGCAAACAACTCACTAACTTGTCTATAAAAATAGATCGAACTAAGATTCTTAAAGCATAAAACACACACCCTCAAACGTTTCTTGTGCTCAATTTCCCTCAACCCTCGGAACCCTCAGCTACCAAAAGAGAAACCCCGAGAAAATTTTGAACTCCAAGCAATTGGCTCTATAAAAGGTAAGTCACATTCTTAAAATTAACACCTCCCACAAACAAAAGATCGCATTTTTCTGATCACAGCTTTCTAAACTTGTTTTTTAATAACAATAAATTCCCCACAGATTAAAAAAAAAAAAGGTAGAAATCCTTGCTTCTGAAAAGATTGAACTACAAATCAGCACCTTTCGGCTGCGCGACGATCGCAGCTAAAATGTGTGCAGAAAAAGTACAAAGAAATTCCTGAACTCTCGCTTACTCCACCTTACAAGTTATAAGAAATATCACACTAAAAAGAAAAAGAAAAGTTCAACCTTTCAATTTTCAATTCGCATTCATCCAACAAAATAAAAATAATAAAAAGAGAGAGAATCAATTTTCAACCATTTAGCTAAGCTTACAAGAACCCAAAATCAAACCCCAAAAACTCGCCAAATTTTTGAAAAAGAAAAAACACCCACAGCATGCAATTTCACAGAAAGCCCTAAAACCCAATGATCATAAGAAAAAAGGAATGTAAAAGCATGAGCAAGCAAACGAGAAAAGAATGGAAGTGGAATAAAAAGATCGAAGTGAAAAATACCTTCAAAATTTGTTAAAAATCGCGCTCCGGTTGAAAATTTAGTATTTATTTGGGTGGAAAAAAAAGAAAGTCTTAGCTCGAAGCCCGTTTATCGGCGACACTATCCGGTTGTTTCTAAGCTTGTGAAGGGGATCTTTTGTGTTTGTCTCTCTCGGACTCGGTCTTCTCTTTTTTGTAATGTAAGAAAATTTCAAGTTCAACAGGCTCGGGTACTCGCTACTCCGAACCGTACCCCGCGGCTAGGTTCGGTAACGTTCGTCCAAAGTTAACGTTACGATCACGTTCAATCAGTTGGGTAAGAGGGAGTGCCTCAATTAACAGTGACGGACGGCACAGAATCAACGTTTTTGGTACAGATTTTTCCAGAGCCCCACCTCCCCGAGCCTATAAATAAAATAATTAATTATAATTCATAATCATTTCTATCCTACTCCAATTATTTAAAAAGGTATTTGTTTAATTTGTGTAGATTTTTACAAAATATGTTTTTAGAATGAACACTGAAAGCAAAAATGAGAACAATGTTTTACATGATCTCATAGTTTCCGCATAACATATTTTTAAAGGTAAATAAGGCAGAATTTTAATGGAACCTCTTATCTTTTTAGCATACCAAGATAAATAACATTAAAGAAGTATAATGTTCCGATAAAATATTAATATGATATGTCTGTATTTAGTTGTTCGTTATGTCGTGTAGATGAGACATGCTTCAAAATTTGTTTTGAATTTTTAAAACAATCAAAATTATAAAAGTGTTTTTAAAAATAATTTCATCTCAGAAAAGAAAAAGGATGGTTGCCAAATCCAAATTGAAATGGTATGTTTGTGTTTGGGAGAGGATATTTTTTCTGTTTTTTTTTTCCTTACATTTTGAAATGAAGTATTTAAATTAACTAGTTGGGGAAATGGAGTAGGTTTTGATTTATTGAAATTTTGGGGATCTTTCATTTGCTCCATCTATTGACTTTGACAGTTTCTTTAGTAGAATAGTGTAGCAGGTCTTGTGCCAACCAGCCAACCAATTAATGCCCAATTATATCTATGTCTTACTTTTAATAGTTTACAAAACAAGTGTTATGTTGACGTAGGGTTTTGTCGAGCTACTGAATCTGACCACGTGGCAACTGATCCAGCTAAAGAAGTACGAGTTCATGTGAGGAAGCAAGCACTATAATGCTCAAATTAGTATAAGTACGAGCTCGAGTAGGTTGTTCTTGGAGCAAAATTGCGTACCTAGGTTGGAGGAATGAAGATCATTTTTATAACCAGAGTAAAGGAGTCGGTTCGTTATGACCGTTACGACAAGGTGGTTGGACGGTTATGGCTGTCGGACCATAGGTCATCAATGACTAATTAGGTCGACTATTCATCTTTTCATATGGATGAGGTAGGAGCTTGTGGTAGATGAGCTTAGGAGCTTGGTCAGTGATGAGCTTAGGAGCTCGACAATAGATGAGCTTAGAAGCTCGGTAGTAAGTGAACATAGTAGATCGATTGTAGATGAACTTATTAGCTCGTCGCCATGTAATCTAGATCATATTTTTCCCCTAACATGTTATATTTATATTATATGTTTTTTATTTAATCGGAATAATGATTAAATCAAATTTTTTTAGTTAAAGTTTAAGAGAGTTCAAACATCAAAATAAAGAATTAAAATTTTAATATATGATCTTTGTCCTTTGATACCGTGAGGTTTGGAATTAAATATTATCTTTGATCACATATTTAAATGGGCTAATCTTACTTTTGCCATCTGTTCTAATTATTAAAAACAAAAGTTTCATGATTCTTTTTATATATTAATAAAATTTTCACAACATATATTTTGCTTAACACAATGGATAATTCTTATACCACTTTAATTCTCACCGTGCTTAAAATTGAGATCTCACCATAAAAAGACACATTAATGTAGTGAAATTTACCGCCTTCAAACTTTTTAAGTGTGTCATGCTTTATTCATCTCTAAGTAGTTTATGAATATCATTTTCATTACGTCTTCCTACCACATCTTCTTTAATTAAAAAAAAATCTCTTTATCTTATTCTAACTTCATCGCAAGAAATCAAATATTTACTTCAATTAATGTCCATCAATGTTATTATTCTCATGCGACGTCTTAACATGTTTGGATGTTTATTGATGGATGTATATTTATTTTCATCTTTTATTAATATAGTTTTTAATTAGATAGGAAATTTTAGTTTCAAAATATTGGTCGAACTTTATCTTAAAATTTGACATAGAATCTATACTGCATCACTTTTTTTGGTAACATTTAGTTTCTTATATATCATCGGTACAATTTATTAATGACATGATGAAATAAACAAGTATTGTCTAAACATTTTATTTGAAAAAAAAAAGGATAAAATTATAAGTTTGGTTCCTTGAATTTCACAATTTTAACTCCTTAATTTCTATACCTAAAAAGTTCCTAAAAATACTTGAATTTTTATAATTTGCTTATTTAATTCATATACTTTAAATATATTTCTAATAGCTAACCCATACTTTTTCTAATTTAGTGGCACACCAAATATATATTACTGAAAGATCACATAGGACGGTGATTTTGAACTATAATGTTAACAACAAATATTTGTTAGTTAGACACAAGATCGAAAGTTATAAATTTATTAAAAACTTCTCAAAATACAAAGATTGAGTACATAAATCCACAAAAAGTTGAGAAAAAATTTATTTGAGTTTGATCGTTTTCTTGAAAGCAATTTAGTATTTGATCGTTTAGTTTGTGTGTGGGGGTCTCATTTGTCGTGAAGTGGATACATACAATTGCATTTTCTCTTTGACTTTCGAATTAAAAAAATGTCACCTTGAATTATTGTCTACCTAATTTCATCAAATGATGTAACCCAATCATTATTAACCTAACTCACTTTTCCATAGCCATGTGTTGCATCTATGGGGATATACCCTAAATTGCATCTATACTCATTGGTTGGATCCTTATATTTTGATTTCTGAAATTGAAAATATTCCTAAACTAATTTGAGTTGAGAAATTTGGACCCATTTCAATTCACAACATTATGGTGATGTTTCCCTTTTTAACTCAGTCCAATTTTCAATCCTTTTAGGTCATGGCTACCTAAAGTCTAAGCTTCTCTCTTAAAGGTCGTTATTCATCCCCAATTAGTTTGCAGAAGTTTCTTCTATTAAAACAAAATACAAAACTAACTATATCTACAAACTTTTTGAGGTATCTACGCAAATATCTAAAATATTTCTCTTTAAATCTTGTCTGGAAAGCTGTAAATAAATATCTAAAGAAAAGCTCTAGAATATCTTAGCATTTTTTCTCAAGCTCCAAAGGGATTCTAGATAAGTATAGATTAAGAAGTATTAAAGATACTTAATAGAAGGGTCTAGAAAAATCTATATAAATGAGCTTCAAGGATCCTTCTCGTATAAATAGAAGAGATATCCCCCAACTTAGGCCCGTGGAAACTTGATAAAGAATGTCCGCGGGTATAGTTTTCTTAATAAAAATTTCTTTCTCAAAGGAGATTTCCACTTTTCTTCTGTGCTAATTTCTTAAATTGGAGTAAGAGGTGATTTTTCATTTTAGATTTGCTGTTTTAAGAAAAATCTACAAGTATGGTAATCTTTTGCTGCTGAATTTTGGATCAAAAAGAGGTAAGAAAACTGTGAAAAACCAATAATCCCATTCACCAATCCCAATCAAACACTGGAAGATTAAATCTTTTTAAGGCACTAACTTATGTCTGTAGAAGGAAATTAAACATCTGAAACACAAGTTTGTATCAATTATATCATTATATGCTGTTCCTTTACTGTAATACGTACGCTGTCATGATAATGTTTGCCTTTTATTTCTTCCCCACAAGGCCCAATCAGCTCCTCTCATGAGATTTTGTCAATCTTCACCTTCTTCTTTTACCATTTAAAACTACTTCTCACTACTGCAATTTTCTATTCTTAGAGTCGAGGATCTCTTCTCTAAATTACCTTTTTACTGTTTACTGATTCATTCAAACAATGTAATTGTCAATCATTTTCACAGAAGAGCATCCAAATAAGTCAAATTATAAACTATTTATTTAATCCTTTTAACTTTAAGAAAGTTTCTTTTAGATAAATTATTAACCTTTGTCTCTAAAATTCCCTAGTCCCTTCTCCAACCTTTTTTGCCAACTGGCCATTGCCACTGCCACTAAGCAAACCCATGTTAACCAATATTGAAAATGAAACTTTTAAAAGATTATAAACTAAAATAAACAAGATCGTCAAAGTTCAAGAGCGAAATTTGAAATTTAATCGTCTCCATATATCTTGAAGGTCGATGCTTGTATATACAGATCTTAGTCTTCCATTTCTAATATGGACTTGTCAAATGAACAGCCTGATTTGAATGAAATATCTGAACTGCAGTGTTTAATAAAGCAAGATACTGGTAGTATGTAGTATATATATTCAGCTTGAAATGCAGCCACACATACAATTTATAATCAATTTTAAAGAATGGACGATAACTTAATATGGGGTGTGCTCCACTTTACTCCATTTTAGTGCTTCAATTCTTTGCTATTGCAATTTGTAGCAATTAAAATTTGATTGTGGTGGAAATTGGGCATGTCGCACTCAACCAATACATCCACTAATTTCTCCACTAAATGCAAAATGGTTTGAGATTTTTCAGAAAGAGGGCCCATAAACCAACACATAATCCAATTTTGTAATTAAACTACGTGCCCAACACCAGCTGTGGTAAATCTTTTCATCAAACAACTCCTTTATCAGCTTAAAAAGTCAGCATTTTTTTTTAAATCTTTTTTCCATCTTCAGCATCCTAATTCTTACGAAATGAAATCCTATCTTTTCCCACAAACAAAAGACAATAAATTTATCACGAGGGATAAGGATTGATAATCCAAGCAAGAACCCAAATCGCTCACCAAATCTCAAGGTACACAAATATACTAAAAAATTCGCACCGAACTCATGCAAGTGGCTGTTCATTTTTAACTCGGAATGTTTCTTTTTCTTTTTTGGTCATAGAAAGAAGGCATATTCATTCAGGTAATAGAATCCGACAGCATTTGAAACATCAGTTTGAACTTTGAAGATCATAGCAAGAAGTTTAATAAACAGATCCAATGGCTTTATTTACAGCCCTCGAAATTATATCACAGTCTCTTTTTGTTTGACAAAAGTACACATATTTTTGGTACCCATTTTTCACCTAATCTTACCAATCTCTCAACCCACCTCATTCCTCAACAACTTAATAGAGTGATGAGGAAGCCCAAACCCTCCTTCCACAGTCCCATATACATATACGTATGCATATGCATAGTTATATTATAGATAGATAGATAGATATTTGAAACCAATATTATATGTTATGAAATATAAAACCCCCCATAACCAATACCTAAAATATGTAATGTAATGAAAACTAATCAACAATCAGCACAGCCTCTAAATTGTGGTCTTGGTGTGTGGCGATTGTTGGCTCCGGAGCCTGGGTAATCATTCAGTGCCACAACCATCCTTCCATGCTTCACTTCTTCCTCTCCACCACTCACCTGCATAACACATGTTCAATTATTGATGTTCAATCTTTGCTGTTCTGATAATATGTTAAGTTGGCAAGAAAGAAAGATGGAAACTTGTTGATGGGAAATGTGATATACCATGTGGGTTTTGCTTGAAACTTGGAGAAATTGATCAGCTCCATGAATGAGGCTTACACTTCCTGCAGATTCACATCAGAACTAAGCAGTTAGTTCCATGAAAAACAGAGGAAAGAGGCAGAGAGGGAATTGACTGATTAGTGAGGCTTACTTGAAGTTGGGACAGCATTGGAAGAGAGAAGGCTGCAAAATCCAAGGAATATGACGAGTAGACGAAGGAGAGGGGTGGGTGCTGCCATTGCTGAGACAGGCTTGTAGATCTCAAGCTTCCGAAAGTGCTGCTCTGCTTCAAAACAGAGGAAGAGGATGGTGGTATTTATATATGAAATCTCAGAGAAGGGTTTAGCGGGAAAATATGTTTGAGGCCGGCCCTCCTTGTGAGTTTGTGTACAAGATTGGTACACGAAGTCAAAAAAGAAGGTGAAAGCAACAACAACACTTTATATGGAGGTGGTTTGTCATTGTCTGACACCCCAAGGCCAAGGATTCTGTGGAAGAAAAGATGAAATTTTGGGAAGTGGGGGGAAAGGGGGAGGGGGAAATTATGATATTTTAAAGTCAATATGAAGAAAAGTTGGAAGACACTGTGGGAAAGTGGAGGATGACAGAAGAGTTGAGGGAGGGGGGCAGGGGCTGCACTAATTTATAAGGTCAATGGGGTAGTGGGAATATAATTATAATCATTTGGGTGTGAGGAAATGTTGAAGGGAAAATGTTTATGTAATGCAAATTTGTTGATATTATATGGGGGAGAGAGCTTCTTGGGGGCTACAATATCTTGGAAATTGACGAAAAGAAAATTGGAAGGTGCACTCCATTTCAATGGCACAATAAAAAGGCTAGTGGGTTTGGAACCAAATTTGCACCAAATTATGTGGTACAAGTTTTGCCATCACATGTGGGTATCATGCATATTGGTGTTGATTTTTATTTTTATTTTTCTTTGGAAACTTTGCTTCAGCTAATACCTACTCTATATTTTGATGGTGTCCTACCAACCTTTATGAAGGAGAATGTAAGGGTTGGAAAAAGAGGAGTGAATATTGTGGTGGTGTTTGTTATAACATTCTCTATTTAATGTTTAGTTTATACTTTATACTAAGATGGGGTGAAATGGAGTAAAATAGAGAGAATTTAAGAACCCTCGACAAACTTCTTATTTATGAATGATGAAATCCTTAATACTTCGTTGTTGTTAGTGTTTAACCAAGTTCTATTAGGAACAATGATTGCGCAGAGACATGTATCATCTGTTAGTTTGTTGAATGTAAATACTTTTTGGGAGACAAATTTTTTAATCACTTGTGGGTTGCACTCACACTAAGATGAGGTCTCTTACTTACTTTGTTTAGCATGTGTATGTTCATCTTACATTGTCTTAAAAAAGTACGGAGAGGGGTCTCACATATACTTCCACCGCAGTAGAAGAGTCACCCTCTGCGATCTGCACTTGGTAGTACTCCAGTTGCCAGCTCAACTTGGTGAAATACCTTCCCGCACCTAATTGATCTTTTTGATTAGTATTAGCGAAAGCTCGCTCGACTTAATATTTGAGTTTACCAAAGATCTTAGAGGGGCATCCAATCAAGACTGTCACCCTCACTCTTCAGAGATAGGGGCGCAACAAAAAGTCTTACAAAAGATGCTTGTGGATCATGGTCTCATGTACTAATCCCTACAACTACGTGTTTAGTAGGTCGGGCAAAGAGATCCACGACTTTCACTGCAAGATTATTATTATTTTTTCCATCTTTCTTTTCTAGTAAGATTTCTAATTAAGTAAGCTAGGTATGTTTATCACCATTTTATTGGAAAACAAAGTATACTCACTTTACCTTCCGTTTGGATACCAAGTACCTATATACATACATAATTATTATAATGTGTATAAGTGTGATATGTAATAGGTAACTTTTATACACAATTTTTTAATATCTCATTGATAAGGCTTTTGTTTTTAAAAAACAAAGTTTGTTGGATTCTTCTTTTGTTTTTTAACTCTATAAATGTAATTAAGAAATCTTAGCCTATTATTTTCTAAAAAGACCCTAAATTATTTTAAATGGAAACAAACCAACAAAGCCAAACTGGCAGGGATCAGCCGAACAAAATCCAGCCAAAAAGTTAAAAAGACATAAAACATATGTTGATAATTTTGTCAAAATTGTACGAAATTTATTATATGTTTCACATTAGGAAATACATTTTCTACAAATAAATATGATTTGTTTGAAATCCTAATTAAAGTCCGTATCCTCTTTTTCCTCATCAACATCATTTCAATGCCATTTCCCCGTGTCTTCCCCAACAAAAGATTTATATATATATATCTATATATAATGTCAGGTTTGACTTTAGAGTCATAATTAAATTAAATTAAATTAAATTAAATTGTTTTGTTGACTTTCACTTACATTATATTATATCATTTAGTCCAATTACAGTATTCGTCAAATTTAGCTTTCATGGTCGCCCATTGCGACTTCATGCCTTCTTTCACAAGATGGAGACATAATTCACCAAAAGCTTACTTTCACATTATAAAAATTTTATAACACTCATCTTATATTATAATATAGTCGGCCTTGGGGAAAAAAAAGGGTTGTTAAAAAGGATATTATTTATAAGATTAATCTTCCTCTTTCTCTTTTAATGAAAATAAATTACTTATTGTGCAATGCAACTTCCAATAAAATATATTACAAACAAAAGAAAAGGGTTTTTCATAGTGCTTAAAATAATTAAGTTCTAAACAGCACTCCTCCCACCTTTAATATGATTTTTCACTACTTTATTTTATTGTTCTTTACAGAGATTTTCACTGTTTTTTAACACGCATTTTTCACTATTTTAAATTACAGAAATTTTGTCTTTATGGACCTTTGACTAACGGTCCAATCTTTCCTCGAAGGTAGAAATGGGCCATAATATATCAAATTGACCCAAATTGGCGAAGGCCCAAACCCGGGCCCATGGACCGACTTGAGTTGGGAAAAGATTGCTTTATGAAAACAGTAATTGTCAAAAATATATTAGGAAAGGAAAATATTTGCAATWATACAAGTATGTTTAAATATTTGCAATTATATCTTTGTTGCTAAATACCCTTATTTAATCTGATTAAGTTTTGCATTGTTTTATTTAGTTTATATTGTTTTCTTGCATATTTAGGTAATCAAACCATAATCTTCTTCCATTATTATTTAAAAATTTATTATATTAAAATTTACTTTTATTATTGTCATGAGAAATATTTAGTTTTTTTCTTTTTCATTTCTTCCCCACTCTAATTTCATGTCTGTGTTACAAATAATCAATAATTAACCCACAAAGATCCTAAACTCTCTTTTAAAAAAAGGTTCATTTTATTAAAAATCCCTCCAAACTTAGAAACTTTGTGTCCCTTCTCTTTTTAATCGGTCTAAGAGCACATTATTTAATCATATATTTAATTTGATTGTAGTGAAGAATACACATAATTGTAATATCTTGAAGAAGTGATATAATATTATAAATATTTTCTAAAAATATAGCAATACAAAATTTACATCTTATTTTTATATAAAAAAAAATTGACTTAAAGGGTCCAAAAGGCCAAATACATTGATTGATTATATGGGGAGTCTGTAATTTAGGTAGGTAAAATACAATTAAAGATAATATATGCTTATTTACAATATATATATATATATATATATTTTGTAAACATATAAAAGTTATTCAATAGCTTAAAATTGGTATTCTCCAAAATATATATATATATTAAAATTGGTTATTCAAAATTTGACATCACAAATTTTATACGTACACACGAAAAAACAAATTTGTTTAAAAAAAAATACAGCAACAATAAAAAAGAATTTTATGATATTTCAATTATTGCGAGGTAAGATAGTTATCATATTATTGATATAATAGCATTTAATCAAAGAGTAGATAAAAAGAAATAATATTAAATTACTGCAAAGGTAAATGAATGGAAACTTTTGATAACCCAAGGAAATCATATAGAAGAGTAAATTTCAAAAATGTTTGCTTAGTTTTGGATATGTCTATATCAAATATATGTACTGATATGTATGGTTATGTGTCAATAATGATCAAATTTAACATCATTCTTCTCGAATAAAAGAATTTGATTGAAGAACCTGCAAAAATAGTAGATTACACATTAGGTGTTAGTCACACACACTCCAATAATGTTTAAGTTATAATCGAATTTGTATTAAGTATAGCAAGAATGATAGTTTTGTAGCTTATTTTTCATTAGGAATATTTTCCTTTATTTATAGATCGAGAATTCAAGTACCCTTAAAAGAGTTGATAGTATGGAGAACTTGTCAGTTCATTAAGTCGTTCTATAGACTGTTCGACCCTCATCAATTTATGTCAATGTTCAGTATTCACGCGCTTGATTAGTGTCGAATCCGAGGAGTTTGTGCCTCAAAGCTCAACTTCTTAGATCAACTTCTTAATGAATCGCAGTCGACTTCCTAAATTTTTGCGGTGGATTAAAATTTTTTCCCATCCATTAACACAGTATTATAACTTTCTAAGTTTAACGCATACAAATTACATTCACCGCCGATTTTCCTTTCCCCATTTTAAGGTCCTGTCCTCTTGCTAATCATCCATTATCTGTTTGACAAGGGAACATTATTCTCCAAAAGAGAGTGTAAAAAGGATTAAATAAAACAGAGTAGAAAATAGTTCAAATGATTAGCTTTTATTTTTGGAAGGTGTGACATATTTAGCAAGCTCCGTAAATTAAAATAATTTATAGAAAGCAAAAGGCGAAGGGAAAAGAAAAGAACCAAATAAAATTGTCCACGTGGAAGGCGAGGCGGCAGCCAAACTGGGCAGTGGCATCGGGTGCACCAACTTTTGGTACAACCCAAGAGAGAGAGAGAGAGAATCAGAAATGGAAGAAAATCTTTGTGTCCACATAAACTTGTGGCTCACAATCAAATTCACTCGCTGACGTGGCACCCACGCCTTCTTTTAACGGATTCATCGTCAACTTCCCCTCCACACTTCCAAAATTCCTCCTCTGCTCCAACTCTCAACTCTCAACTCCTCTTCTTTTCAGCAAAAGATATGTTGGATTCTAAGGACCCTGCCATCAAGCTTTTTGGCCGRAAAATTCCCCTCTCCGACGACGGCGAATCTCCGGCGATCCATCCCCAACAGTCGCCTTCTGACAAAGATGAATCCCAGCCCCCAAAGGTACAGACAGAGCAGGCCATAGTTTCTATGGAAGTTGTGTTATACTTCAAACCAACTGCTACCCATTTCATCTAATGGTCAACAAAATTTTCTGGGTCGTTTTTACTTTTTCACTTCTTTCCATGACTTCAGTTTTCTGCTGCTTCTGAAAAGAGAGAAAAAAAAAGAAAGCTTTTTTCTTTGTTTGATTACGAGTCTTTCCTGTCTTGTTTCTTCTTCTCCAATTTGATTTGGTTCTACTGTTAGGGAGAAACTGAACATATGGGGTTATCGCGGATTCTCCTTTCTCTGCTTCTCTTTTCCAAATTACTAATTTACTCGAAATGGAAAAAAGTGGGTTTCTCATATATTTACCTAGGCTCTACCTCAATTGGGCTTTTAACGAATAGTAGTCATAATTCAACAATGAAATAATTTCCACCAACTTTCTTTATTTTTCTGGATTTCAGGACGCGACAGTAGATGATCCGAAAACGCCGTCCATAGACGAAGAAACTGAGAAGCCGATTAATGGAAAAACARATAGCGAGACACCGAATTCAGAGAAAACCCTAAAGRAGCCGGATAAATTGCTCCCATGCCCTCGCTGCAAGAGCATGGAGACCAAATTCTGTTACTACAACAATTACAATGTCAACCAACCCCGCCATTTTTGCAAAGCCTGTCAAAGATACTGGACTGCCGGCGGCACCATGAGGAACGTGCCGGTCGGAGCCGGTCGCCGGAAGAGCAAGAGCTCTGCTTCCTACTACCGCCAAATCACAATCTCCGAGGCTCTCGAAGGCGCTCGACTTGAGGCTCCAAATGGAACCCACAAACCAAAATTTATCAGCAATAATAATGGCAGAGTCCTCAGTTTCAATTTGGATGCACCAAATTCAGACCCCGTGGTGGCCTCTGTTTTGAATCTCTCCGAAAACAGAGTATTGAGTAATGGGTTGAAAAAATTTGAGGACAAAGGATCCGACGGCTGTGAAAAAATCTCGAGCGTGTGTTCTATGGGAGTTCAAAGTTCATCAGAGGTGGGATTAGAAGGTAGACAACGAACCCAAGAACCTCCTATCAATGGCTTCCCTTCTCATGTTTCATGTCTTCCATGGCCATTCGTGTGGAATTCCTCTGTTCCTCCTCCAGCCTTTTGCCYTCAAGGAGGATTTCCCTTGCCTTTTTATCCAGCAGCTGCCTGGAACTGCGGTCCTGGGCCATGGAACACACCATGGTTTTCTCCACAAGCTAATTYCTCKKCAGAAAAACCTCTCTGTTCTGACTCAAAATCTTCTCCAAAATTAGGAAAGCATCTCAGAGAAGAAGAGGCCGTTAAGCATAGAAATGGAAGTGTTTTGACCCCAAAGACTTTAAGGATTGACGACCCAAGTGAGGCAGCAAAAAGCTCCATATGGGCAACTCTTGGAATAAAGAACGAATCAGCAATCACTGGGGGAAAGAATCTGTTCAAAACCTTTCAACCCAAGGGCCATGAGAAGGTTCATCWTGTAGCTGAAGCCTCCTCAGTTTTGCAGGCAAACCCTGCAGCCTTGTCAAGATCGCTCGTCTTTCACGAGAGCTCTTGAAGGCATACGTCGTCGACATCAGTTGCTTAGTCTCGTCGACGAGTGGGAAAACCCTTCATGTAGATTAGAAGAATGAGGGTGGGATCTTCAACTCATTCAGTCTGAGTTAGAATTTGCTAACCTTTGAATTATAGAGTATCAGATAACACAGAAGATCAGGAAGAGCCAATCAGTTTCCTAATTTTCTCAGAAGTAGAGCCAAACTAGTATTAAGGAATGCCAGATTATATTAATATCCCCTTTTAACAGTTTTCACTCTATCTGCCTGATTTTACATAGCCATTTGGTGAGCTGCTTGTTATTCACCTTGTAATGTACATATCGCTATATATAGAGATCTGTGAAATACTGACATAGATTGCTGAAATTTTTGTTTTTTTGTGTTGCCTCTTATGGCTTAAAAAAGTTATCTTTTTGCTGAATTTTTCTCAGTTGATCTATAACCTCAGACAGCCACACTGCCTGCCACTGCAGAGAGTATCTTCCTAAAAGTTAAAAATAAAAAGAGAAATGGCAAAAAGACTCAAAAAGCAATTATAAGCAACAAAAGGTGATTCTACTGTGTGGCTTTATGTTGCGCCAAAGCACCAAAAAGCTGCTATCACAACAGCTGTRACAGGATAAGATTGAGAAAGCAGACAGTTGAAGCTTTTCTTTTGGACTACTTTTTCTTCCATTTTTCCCCTCTTCTTTTATATCCAATTCACAAATTAACGGCAACCGTGGTTGCGGTTGCGGTTTAACATCATTTCTAGTGATATGGGACCTTTAGAATAGGATCTAAAAATAAAATCATGCAGGTTTTTTTCTTAGTGGACAATATTATACTATTGTGAAGATAAAGAGAGGCGAAAGAGGATAACGAAAAGATGGATTTGAAATGCTTTTAATTCGAAAAGAAAAGCGGGACCACAGAGAAAAAAAGAGTTTGCCCACGAGTCTCTTTTCACAGAGAATGAAAGATGCCTATTGAACAGGGCAAAGGGGGAAATAGAGTGAGATATTTAGAAGGTAGGAGCAAATGGTGGCCACATTTTTGTTGCACAAAAGATGAGCTAGCTGTTGAAATGGGACCCAAATGCATATAGTGCCATGAATCCTTTTTGGAATTGTCTCTTGCTTTTGCTTTCCTACTTTTTGCTCTTTTTTTTTTCTTTAAAGAAAAAAAAAATTGAAGATTGAAATGAACCTTTTTCTTGGCATGTGTATCCCTAACTTGGGTGTTGAAGTTTGTAGGTAAAGCCATTAATGGGAGTTGGTTTTGAAAAAGAGAACTGGTTTTTTTGGTCCAAGCAAAGCAGAGAAACCCCACTTGGAAAATCACCATAAAAAGTGTAGGCAAAGAACATGGATCTTGAGGCTACAAGTGCCTAACAATAACACCAAAACAAAGCTGTTGTGTGTTTCTTAAATGGTATGGAAAAATGAGGTTGTTTTTGGAAACACTTTAATTATCAATAATCATTCATGTTGAGTATCAAGTGTCTGATTAAGGCCTKGGAAAGACTTGCAAATCAAAATCCAGCTTCCCGCTACGTAAGTTGACATCATTTCTTTAAGGCTTYTTCTCCTTTTTGTCCCTTTTAACATAAAATTTAAAAGACAAATTTTAGTAKCGTTCATGTTTCTTGTTTACTATTAATCAAGAAAAATAGAATTTGCCAAACCGAGCATAGYTCAAGTGGTTAAGGYATATATCTCTGACCAAAAGGTCATAAATTCGAACTCTCACCCAAAAAAAACCGTTTAACTCTTAAATAAAAAACTAATAATTAGTTTATTGAATTTTAATCTTATAATTATCAATGACAGACTACCTTTCTCTTCTTTGTAGTATTTATAATAACATCTTTAAAACTTTATGCTGCTTAACACTAAAATTTTGCAAACTATTTATCCAAATAAAAAATAAAAAAAATAAAATCTCTCTTTCCTCTCTCTCACTTATAATTTATAACAGCCTTCATGGGGGGAAGTGTTCTATAATAAAAAAAAGTCTAATTTCTCAAAATAGCTTTTGAATTTGTCCTAATTTTATTTTTTAAAAGGAAAAAAAAGTCTAATTTTACTGAAGTAGTAAAAAGAAAACTTTGCTGCACAAGTTGGCATCATAACTCCATAACTTACTAACAATTATTAATTTCTTTTTAACTTTTTGTAGTATATACTTAAACCAGAATGCTCAAAACCATGTTCCTTTTCTTTTCAGCCTTTGAAACCTTAAACCCCTTTTTTCCTTGTTTTTTTGGTGACTAACTCATATGGGCATAGTGGTAATATTAAATTAAACTGATTTTAAACTTAATGCCATGGTTCTTTTATTCCTAATTGGTTCAAAGTGTGCAAGCTTTTATCAATATCAAAGAAATTTTTTAATATTTTAATTAAATTTGTCTGCAATATGGATAGTCCCATAATTCCACTACCTCAAATTTTTTTAAAAAATATATATAATTTGAACAATGTTCTAGATTAAGTGCATAACTTTTTTGAAAAGCTAAAATTGGTGGAGGAAAAGGTGTCACATGCAGATATTGGCAGTCAGGGTCAACCCCCCMMYTWAAARKWAWTWWYYTYYWARKWAWTTTTTTTTTGTTAACAATTATTCATTTATTGTTTAGGTGATGAATTAAATAATCAAATTATTTGATTAAACTGAGGTTAATTCAAATTTATGAGCGTGTCACGCTCAATTCAATGTCTGATGTTAATATGAGTTTAGCTTAACGGTAATAATTAGTACATATCTTTAAAATCATTGGTTTGAATCCTCCACTCCACTTGTTGTACTAAGAAAAATCAATACCTCATATAATTGTACTTTAAAATAGTTAGATGTATAATCTAAAAATAAATGATAATACATATCAAATCCATAATAACATTTTTAAAATGTTAGAGATAAAATTACATATTATAAAAGTTTTATAAAATAAATAGAGTAATCTATTCAAATTTATCTTATGGGTTTAGATTTTTAGAGAGATTTTTCTAATTTTTTTGGTACAAGATATATATGGGAGTTGGGGATCGAACTTACARCCTCTTGGTTGTAGATATATGTTAATTATCGCTGAGCTATGCTCGCTTTGGCTAGAGAGATTTATTTAAATTTGATATGATGCTTAAAATTCATTTGTCCGATATTGTATTTCAATTGATCAATGTCCCCCTTTTTTTAGTTCAATGCATATAAAGTGAGAATTCGAATTTATAACTTTTTGATGGATGATATATATCTTAATCAGCTTGAGCTATTCAAATGGACAGAGATATATTTTTTTTTTATCATGGTTTAGTGGATTTAGATAAAAAGAGACTAATGCTTCACACATTAATTTTGGGCCTAAATTAAACCCTAAAAAAATCTCAGAATAAAAAAGTTTATCATGTTTTGACTTGGGACATTGTCTTCAACTTTGATTAGTTTAATTCTCAATTCTATATTACGATTAAAAAAAACAGAAGAAGGAACGGGAGAAAATAGGCTCCAAAATCCAAATATGCTTAATTGAATTGAAAGATTATGAAAGAAAGTGAAAAGAAAAAAGGTTGACATATAGTGAGTTGGGTTTTGGTCAAAGGGTGAGTGGGACACGTGTGTGGCAACTAACCAAAAGCATCCAATAAAAAAATATTATAGTGCGTTTCCTATGGTTTTAATTAAATTATTTCATCAAAATAAAAAATAAAAACACTTCCCCTAGCTATATATTTTGAATTTGAGTGTGTTCTTTATAAAACAAGGTTCAAATTTGTTGTACCCCCTCCATAAAGCATCTCTCTTTTTCATCAATAAAATTAATGTACTTGTATGAAACTTCTCTTTCCAACAAACACCAATTATATCAAATATATGRTTATTATTTATATGCTTTGTAGTTTGATGATTCACATATCTATTTTTTTTATCGCTTGCTCCTATCGTCTTTTTGATGTGGTATCAATATTGATTTCTAAAAAATGTACTTAAATAGTGATGGTCGTTATGCAACACTCCATCTTCAAGAAGTGATGATATTAGATTTAATTTGTTTGAATATCATATCATTAGGAGACATCATTGGTTGTTGAAAAAGGAATAGAAAAGATTATTTCAAATCAAAAATTAACTTCAATGGAAAAAACGAGGATGAACCCCACTAAAGTGAGACTAACAAGTATCACAACGAGGTGATTTTTTTTTTCTTTTTGAAATGACGAAGATACATAATTACCTTCAAATCCAACTCTCTTCATACTATTTATATGCGATCATTTCTAGCGGTATGTAATTTCTAACCATTTATTAAACATATTAATAGTTTTTTTATTATAATATTATAACTCAAACAAGGAGTGGAAATTCGACATACCTACATTTTATATGAGAAATTACAATTAGCGTCCTTCATCGGTTGAAGAATGTTGAAGTTTTTTTAGTACAATATGTGGGAGTGAGGATTCCAACTCACGATATTTTAGTTGAAAATAAGTATATTAACTTGGTTGAAGTTATTGGCAAAGGAATTTGATCTAATATGATAAACAATGGAAATGAATTGAATTTGATAGGTAATCCCTCATTTTTTGAAACGACGCAAATGTTTAGAGGGCCACCTCCCTATTTGGTTGATAAAGGAAATAAAAGAAATGTGCTTGAAGCCAATTAAGAGACCACTAAGGAAAGACAAAGTAAACATTTCAATCACCTTTCATATAATATTTCAACTTGTGCATTTAGTGAAAAATGTCTAAAATCATAATTAAACTATCTCATCCATTTTTTCAATAAATATTTAATGACCTTTGCAACTGGTTAAGTTATTACAATCTCAACTAAGAGGTGAAATGATTAAATTTCATCCTACATATTTTTCTGAAAAATTATAAAATAGAATTATTATTATTTTCAAACAAATCTATAATTACTAATTGGTCTATTATGCGTGGCATACCAAGTGGTTGAGTTTATTGTTTTTGATACACAAGCAACGCCCAGATGCCTTAGGCTTATAAATGACACCCAACTTTGGGTCACTTTACTGTGCTACAACCCATTACCCATAGCCCATAGTCATAATAGTGCGAGGGGCTTTTCAAAAATTGCTAATTGAATTTTCCTTCTCCAAATTTTAGATTTTAAGGACGCATGTTTCTCGACTGTTTTTGTTTCTTGTTACTTATAAGAAACCTTTTTAAAATTGCGTAGAATTTTTGGAAATGACAAAATCAAGTTTCTTAAAACTCGTTTGTTAACATCCTCGTTTCTCGTTTCTGTTTCTTATTGCCAAAAGAAGAAAAATATGTTGAATGACAAGTACGCTCCCCTTATATTAAAAGCGAAGTTTTTCATCTTTAAAAGGTACMTGATATCTTGTATTTTACATAAGCTCGATTCGATACCAGCTTAAACTTAATTCTAACTTAAGTTTTAGAGTATATGTAGCCGAATATCATATTATAATATTATATTTACGGTTGTTGCTGACATGTYATATGGATTAGAATTATGCATCAATTAGATTGAGATTGGATCCGAAATGTAAATTTCTACGAAGGAGAATTTTGGCGGCCTTTCCCACGCCTTTGYTTAATATGCAGCCCAATGACACGGCGTTCCCGCGCTTTGTTCTTGTAGTTATTACTTTTTGGTTTMAATATACATTTTTTTAATAAGATCTATTTTTATTTTATTTTGGTTTATGTAATTTCGAGAGGTATTTTTTTTAAAAATTTAAGTGTCGATGTCATTAAAAATGTCAAAGTCTATGGGAATATCCTTAAAATATTCATAAAATATTGATGTTGATGAACGTTTTAAAAAAATAATAAAAAAATAAAAATTCATACAAAATATTTAAACTAATAAATATGCATTTCAACATTTTAAAACTAATTAAAAAAATCATATTATAAAATGATGTACACATTAGTGATATTTTGTTGATATTCTTTTATGTTTTGTCCACTTTTTACGATACGGTCTATTCGCCCTTTAAGTTGATGTTGAAACTAGGAACATATTAAAATGTAAACGTATCCATGGAAATTTAAGGCTCATTTGGTAATGTTCACATTTCTTATTTCTATTTTTTCATTTTTAATAAAAAAAATAGAATTGTATAGCCCAACACCCATTAATTGAAGAATAATCAAATAATATTTATATTTATGTAATGTAACAAATTGGAAAGGGAAACACTAAACAATAAACCTGTTTTGATTATTTCCAAAATTTCTATACAATTGTGTGAGAATGTTTAAAAAAATGAGAAATAAGAAACATAATTAGTAGTAAAATACTTAAAATTTTTGAATAAAATTTGGAAACGAAAATATTACCAAATCGGGCCTTGACATCCTTAACCTTTCGAATGGTGATTTACTTTAATTTGAAAATTCTATTCAAATTTAAAATGTAATGTTTCACTTACTCCACTGATCTAAGGTCACAAAAAGAAACGAAAAAAAAGACATAAATTGACTTGGACACACTATTTTAACCTTGAACTTCAATGCAAAATCCATTAAAGCCATTTTAAATTTACTACTGACGAAAGAGTCCCCGGCAGAGACGGGTCGTCCAAGACTCGAGACGATGACGGGGAAATTTCTAATCGCACCTTCTTCAAAAAGTCTCACAAATACACAGCAAACTCGTTCCTTTCACTCGCAAAATTTCAACACGGGAATACTTTTTGATTTATTGTCGCTGTTTCTYTTTAGTTTTCGATGATCGAAAATAAAATTTAGTACGAATAAACAAAATTAATTGATAATAATAGAAGCAATCCATTTTTTTTGTTGGAGTGAAGCTTGGTTGAGCTCCTTAGATTCTAATATTATATCAATTTATAAATTTAAAATGTATATTATAAATGTTTTAACCCAAAAATTGGCAACACTTATGTGTCTTTTAGGATGTGTTTGGCTGGTAAATATAAATTTGAAAATAAATGATTAAATGAAAACTAGAGTTGTATTCTTTGGAGTCAGTATTTTCAAATATATGTTTGATAGTAGATTTGATAATTGAATCTCAACTTAAAAAAATTGTTCAATGTATATTTAATAATATATTTATAAACTATAAGTAGTTACAAACTAAATTTAATATGAACTTAATTAATTTATTTGTAAACTATAATTATTGTTTTATACGGTTATATAATTTAGAATATTTTATATTTTACGTGTTTTAATTTTAATAAACATAAAATGAGTTTATAATATGTAGTAATATATTTATAAATTTTTTTATTATTTTTATATAATTGTGCATCTTAAAAATTTCAAATTCGGAATCTAACAATTTCTAGAATCGCATAATCTAAAAATAATTTTAAAAAACGAATGTCCAAAATTCTGTGAAACGCGTATCTTGATTGAGTGAATCTGAAAGCAAAAAACAGATTCGGATTTTCAACCAAACAAACCCTTAATATTCCAATTTGTCAGGAAGTTTCGCCGCAGATTCCAAATTCAGGGTAGCTTAAGAGTAATAACACTGTATCTTGGCGGAAGTTTAATGGCCAAGACTTGACCCCAATAGAATCATTAACAAGTATTCATTCTCTTATCGCTATATAAATATCAACCCCATCCGAGCTCTTCTAATGTCTTGTGCTCGCTGCTCAATTAGCTATAGTTATTATACATATATATAAATCAAAATCTACTTGTTCATCCTTTCTTCACTCTTTCGAAGATGGAACCAATTGATGACATTGAATATGCTGAATCCATTTCGGCTTCTGAGATTTTGCTTCTGATTTTTCTTAACATTGTACTTGAACACTTCTTTTCAGGTTTATTGTACATTTTCATACTCTGCGCCGCGTTCCTTTTTTATCTGTGGAAATCTTGGGTTGCCCACCGCAACTTCGTCCAACGCCTAGACGCGGCTGATTCTGCCACCTGCATGCGAAGTGTTCGACAAAATGCTTATGAGGAGCATTACCCCACAGAAATTGTGGACGTGCCCATTAACGACACACGAGAAGTGAAACTGTCCATCGAAGACGTGAAAACCATGATGGAGGCACTTGATCGTGAGCATGACTGTAACAATGAAAATAATAATCTTGGGTTGAGTGCTGAGATTGAGGGGCTGTTTGAGGAAGAAGTGAGTTTGGGGGAAGTTAAGGAGGCTTTTGATTTGTTTGATGAGAACGGTGATGGGTTTATTGATGCAGAGGAGTTGAAGAAAGTGTTGTGTGCCATGGGATTTACAGTGGCTTCAGGAATCGACGAATGCAAGAAAATGGTAAGTGTGTTCGACCGTAATGGAGATGGGCGTCTGGATTTTGAAGAATTTGCAAAGCTTGTTGAACAAAGCTTTTCTTGAAAACTGCTTTCTCTCTCTCTTTAAACTAAGTCCCATATGTATATAGAACTTCAAAAATAAGTATCTTTAGTCAAGCATTAGTCATAAGAGACTGGATCATTTGTTCCAAGAACATTCTCAAACCTCTCGTTTGGTGTTCTTGAGTTTTTAGTTTTTCCAGTCTCTTTTTTCTTTTTTCTTTTGTTTTTTTTTTTTAAAAAATGTTCATCACGAATGTGTGTGGAAACTGGTATCTTCAACCAACTGTATTGAAAATTTAATCAACTTGAAATGGAGTTTCTTTTAATATTATTTTTGTAGCATTACAGTTCAAATATGGGTAGAGATTCAAACCTACCATAAAAGTTTGTAAATTAACAATGGATAGTTGTGTAATTTGTCAAAATAAAGTCATTYCACACCTAAAACGATAAAATAGAAATTTCTTTATTAGAAAGTATAAATATATAATCCAGGAAAAAAAAGGTTAGGCCCTCTAAATTCTGACAAAACGCACAGCTGCCTGTTCTTTGTCTCCCGCGAAAATTGCTCGGAAACTAACTAGGGCATGACATGAGCCTTTCGTAGATTCTCTCGTCCGCTTGCTCTCCTTCCACTGGTCTATTTCTCTCTAATCTCAATTTCTGTTGAATCATTCTTAATATCAGCTTCTGCATTCGATTGGATTCATCGTCGCAAAAATCTCTTGCCTCCGATCCATTTTTCGGCCCCTGCCGTCTGCGTTCGACCGGTTCTCAAGTAGTTTTCTGTAATGCCCCTCGCTTGCTCAGAATCAGATTATACTTCTCCCCTCCTCTGCTTCCAGCTCAATCTCAGCCTCAGAGACCACTGTCTTGATTGAGCTCTCTCTCTCGCCATGCTCAAGCAATACCTGCTTTACTTTTGATTTGCTTGTCRTCGAGCGCCTGCACTGTTACTCTCGATTCGGGTTTGTACTCTCTGTACAGGCGGTTTTAATTGATTTCTGGTTTCTGTTTGTGCTTGCCAGGGGATTAATGTTTCCATGGACTCTATAATCTCGATCCTGTGTCATTTTCGAAAGCAATGCGTAGGCTTTTGTTCGATATCGTGGTGGTTGCTTTATCTTTCTTGTCATTGAGAATTCTTTTTACCTCACTATATTCCATTGTCTATCGTTTTTGTTTATTGCCGCTTATATAATTCTTATGTGCCTGAGATGGCTAATATTAATCTCCATTCTAAAAATTGTTCGTATGCTGGAATCGTACTTTTTTTTCAAAAAATTTATTTTAGGTCTACGATTGAACTAATGTAGGGGACTAGTTAGGAATATGATTTTGATGTGATTTCCAATCTGATTGCTGACAGTCACATCTTCTCACCCTGGATTTGTAGGTTTAAATACCACGAGATCCATTTAAACATTTAGTTTGTTAATAAAAAAAATCTAACAKTTTCTATTTACTCGAAAATCAAGAAGTTTCAGTTTGGAGACCAGTTGCAAAGCTATGGATTTCTTGAGTTATTGATGAAATTTCTGGTGTACAATTCTATGGCTAGGCTAACATTTTATTTTTAAAAGGCACGGTGAGTATTATTCCTGTAGGCATTCCTTGTTTTAAGAATTGTATTATTCTTTCAGGAAAGAGTGAATATTGCCACGCTATTTTATAATGTAGTTCTTACCAGATTAATTTTGAACTTTTTCTTGTAGAAGAAGATAAATGCAAACAGAAGCCTTTAACCCTTTGATGCACATGCTTCTTTGTGATGCAGACAGTCATAGCAACCCAATTGAAGTTWACTTCTTTTTTGAAAATAGGAGAAGAAGAGGGATCTTATTATTACATTTTTGGCTTTCCAATGATGGTATATCAAACAAGAATCATTGGACGTCCTTTGCTCAATCTTGTGAGATTGAAAGGTTTTCCTATTCTGCGGCAACTACAGTTGGAAGAGCGCTTACTTCGAAACACATCAGATAATTGGTGTATCATGAATGATGGAACAGATAATCCAACTGTTGTGATGGGCGTTTCAGGGTACATACCATGCATAGTTGTTCTACTTTGAATTTTGCATGTGTCTCAKGTTWCTATTTATTGAAAGATTTTATTCTTCTTTTTTTATGGCGTGGGTAATTATATGGTGAATATTGAAACTTATGCGTCACAGTTTGATGATACATATATGTATATTCAGCTAGGTCCTCTGGGTGGTATACAAATACTTATATTTGTAGAATTTGAACCATTAAATCATCTATTAAAGTAAAACTATCTTTATAAAATAATAGAATCTATCACTACAAAGATAAAAGTTGGAATGAGGTTTACAATTTGACTAAGTTTCATGGTTCATTTTGGTGTTCCCTCTCTAAGTCATTTAGTCATTACACCTCCTTTATAATCCACCCAAGTTGGCCAACATTTTGTAAATTTATTTTGGAGGTGCATGGTTAAAATTTTGTTGTAACCTTTCACCAAATCAATAAAATGTTTGTTTCTGTACACAAAAGCTGCTTTTAAGAACTGTTTTTAGATGTTGAAGAGTTGCTTCAATTCCTTGAACTGGCTGTATTGATCAGTTATAGAGAAACTAATTGGAAATGTAGTATTTAATCTACTAAATAATAGAATCATCTCTTGATATGGTTTAGGATCTACTCTATGCTAGTAATAAGACTTGACTATCAATTTGGTTTTGTGTTTAGTCTTGTAGTGGGAAACTCTCAATTTATAATTACCATGTTCTAAATGTTTTAAGATCTAACCTTATCCATGAGTTTCATTATAGTTTTTACCTATTCTTATATGAAACTGTCAAATGTAGAGACCTGCTAGCAGTCAAAATTCTGGGTCATCTGGTCTCTTCTATTTGACTTGTACTTTAGTTATTTCATTCTGAAGATTATTGAATTCTGCATAGGAAACCTGATGAGCTCCTTGACATCAAATCTGTGCTAGGAGATCAAATTCCAGTCATCAGAAGGTTTTCAGGGGGTGGAACTGTTATCGTTGATCATGACACAATATTTGTCACCTTCATATGTAATAAAGATGCCGTTGCCGGACTAAAACCATTTCCTCAACCTATCATGTCCTGGAGTAGTCTAGTATATGATAAAGTATTCCAAGGAACTAATTTTTATCTTCGGGAAAATGGTAGGTAGATTGAACTCTTTAGAATGAACACCATTTCAACTTATTCATATATCTCTGCTTGCATTCAATTATGTATCAGATTAAAAGCTTGTACATTGACTTTTTGTCTTTCCTGGATTAAGATTATGTCTTCGGTAACCACAAGTTTGGTGGAAATGCTCAGTCCATCACTAAAAGCCGGTGGATCCACCATACTTCTTTTCTGTGGGACTATGAGGTTGGGAATATGGCATATCTGAAACATCCTAAACGGGCTCCTGATTATCGTGAGGTATGTCGTACTCTTCCTTGCATTTTTTTTTTCTTTTTGCCCCAAACTGATTTCATGTCCCATCTGCTTCTTTTTCCAACGCCGAGCCTTGCTACTGCAATTGAATATCCAATTATATTTAATGGCCCTGAGACAAATAAATATAGTAAGAGCTTGACAATTGCTATATCTCTATCTCGTAAGATCATCTTGAGGCTCCAATTGGGAATATCCATGTGTTGGTTTTTGAGTTAAAAACATTTTGGACCCATTCCAAAAAGTTGAGGTTGTATATTTGTCCAACCAAAATGAATCCTTAGACTTATGTGTTTTATAATTCTTATTCAGGCAAGGAATCATTTGGATTTTTTATGCCGCTTGAAGGACTACATGCCAAGACAGGTATTTATTGATAAAACAATAGAAGCAATTGAAACTCAATTTGCTACAAGTATAAAGCAATTTGAAGAATGTGAACATTCTTCGACTGGAAACTATAGTCCTACAACAAGGATGCTGACACAGCAAGAATTGGAAACAGCTGCCGGTTGCGGATCGCAAATACATAAGCTTGATAAATTCTTGGACGTAGCAATTTAATCAGTAATTCTTTTAAATAATCACGGTATGGCTATTTTTCCCAAATAATTAATTACACATACCCTTCTTTTATATTAAATTCGTAATGAATTCCAAGTCCCAGCATCAAATATTCTTGTTCTTGCCTRTTATCATTGAATTAGCGTGCCTACAACCTAATTCAAGTCACAGTATCATTTAACAGAACTCTCAAGGTATTTCTCTGTTCAGTAATTCTCTCTCTTTTGTGCATTCTAGTTATATAGCTTGTTGAATTTCTAAGGTTATGGAGCCAGATTGCCTCAATTTGTTGTATAACCAAAAATGTTATACATGCGGGTATCTCTTACCGTTGCCTGTTTTTMCTTGAAGTGGAAAAATGTAATTTGGCTATTTGTTAATCAAAAGTCATGATCACATCTAGTGTTAGGACTTCCTAGTTAGTTTAGCAATTCGTCAGCTTGGCATGCAATTAATTGATGATTACTTGCTCTTTTAGTTTTAGCATTACCAAGTAATCTCCGTTTTAGGCTTGGAAGTTTTCAGTACTTAATAACTGGAATGTCCTTCAGATTTATTTATTTACTTACTTTTTAGTATTTAGTACGAGGATGGGGATTCGAACCTATGATCATGTTGGCGAATGTCCTTTAAAGTTGGATGAATGATATAGTGATGAAAATTCTAATTAGAGATGTTGTAAGATGGTAGATTACACTTGTCTTCTAGCGTCTTAGATCCTAGATAGTACAATTTAATCATGATGTAATCTCACTCTCGATACCTGACTTTGTCTAACATACTTAACTTTTTTCTTACCCTTTTTTTTTTTTTTTTTAGTGAATGCTATGATACTACTAGAATGTGATGGGTGCTGCGGGGTATTATGTCCATATGAGTGTTCACTTTTGATGTTAATGTAGCCAGAGAGGTGGTTGTTCAATGAAAATTGAGCTCCAATTGTAACGTGAAATATGATTTGGTAGTTTGGCCACAAATGATTGTGGTGGCTGGCAGACATTTAGATCCAGAGTAATGAAATGGTCTGGTATCTTTTTAAAAGAAAAATAAAAAACAAAAAACAAAAAATAAACAATAGAGGAGAGTAAACATCAATTGGTAAGCGTTATGTTTATATTTTATCATGTTTAGGTTGATAAATGATTATATAGTTGTAAATGAGCAATTGTTAGATATAACAAAAGTATATAATATATTGATTACCGAAGGTAATAAGTGATTAATAAGTTTTCCAAGAAGTGATATATTTGTGATGACTTTTTAAGTAATGCTATATCTGTCAATTTGAGAAAAATTCTTTTTTTTTTTTAAAATCATTTTAATGAAATTGACTAAATTGGTTGCACGACAAAAATTGGTTGAAATCATTGTGATTGACTGCAAAATTAACAGAATGTATTCAAATTACATTCCCTTGGAAACTACCATAGGAAAGGCAGCCCCCTCATGCTAATATAGAAAAAAGATCCTCATAATGTAAGGGTCCAGGGTCTCTATGTGATTCTCCTCTCGACTAGGCTGAATCGAGCCACCACTTAGAATAAGAATGACTCAGTTTACATGTATCATTTGATGAAAGCAGTCCAGGCAGTCGCCTCCTCGAAGTGGCTTGCCCCTCCCACAATACATTGCTCCTCCYAAAAATTTCTTTCCCACCTTTTAGCGTTCTAGGCCCTAAAAAAAAGAAAGAAACCGAAATTAAAAAGAAAGAAAGATAAATTAGGCTATGTTTTTTTAGAGAGGTTGTCTTCTCTTAGGCCAACAATCTTTGGGCTTCCCTATTTTTTGGGCTTCATTCACTCGTCTACGTGGATTCAATTTTGATAATTTAATTTTACCAAAAAGAATATTTTTCAAGAAATAAATGTAGTTAATTCATTTAATATTTCTTGTGACATAATTGACTTTAAGTATAATTAGATTGGTTTTAGTCTTGAAAAACATTTCTTAAATATTGTCAATCTTAATAATATTTTGTAGCGATATTGTTAATTTAGAGTTGATGTAAGCCTATGATTAAAAAAAAAAAAGTTGATGTAGAAATTTTATATTTTGTTTTGAAGTTCTTAAAGAATAATTATATTTATACTTTAATTTTATGTCTGAATTATGTCTATCTAAAATCATGAAGTTTTAAGCAATCTTCTCATTTGTCTATTATCTTAAATAAATTGACATATCATTTTTTGATTTCACATATTATGAAGCAGAATGAACCGTTGATTGAGAAAAAAAAAATTGGTTGGGTCAGTTTGACCAAGCTTTTCAATGAAATAATTCTACCTAGGCCGAAATACATTAGTTAAACAATATAGAAAAGAAAATAAAAAATGAATGATTTGGAGAGGGGGGGTGGGGTGGGGGTTTTGTAGTGAAAAAAAGAGTATTTATTGATGAGGCGATTGCTGAATTGCCCAAACAATTTGCAATTTGGTGCTGATTGGTGGTTTGTCATTTTCACAGCCGAAATCTTAGGCTGACCTTTCGTGAGATTGTGTAAAGCAAAGCATTAGCATGCTCTCCTTTGTGTTCGTTCAATTGGCAATTGCCATTACCTTCCTTTCCTGTTTTACTGCCCGCCTTCCCTTTTTCTCCCTCTCCCATGTCCTTCTTCTCCATTCACTTCCCTTTCTCTCTCTCGGTGCGATTCAATTCGTGCCTTCCCCTCTTTTACTAATACCCCATTTCCCCTTCGATCCTTCTCCCCTCCTCAATCCAACCTGATTTCCTCCGATTGTTCTTCACTGCCGCTTCTCTCAGCTGCCCAACTGCGTTTTCGATGCTTTTTCCAACTCGGCGAGTTTGAATTCCAGGGATACCCACCCATTCTTCTCGTCTCCCCTTATAATGGGAAGGGTTAAGCTCAAAATTAAGAAATTGGAGAGCACTGGCAGCAGGCAGGTCACTTTCTCCAAGAGAAGGCATGGCATTATGAAGAAAGCTCGAGAACTCGCCATTCTCTGCGATATTGACATTGTTCTCCTCATGTTTTCGCCCACTGGAAGGCCCGCGTTCTACCAAGGTGAACGCAGGTACTATAATATTCCACGACCCACAACGTTTTCTTTCTTKCACCTGCTAGATGTTAGTGATTCTAGTTTTTAGCAACCCACATTATGTAGAASCAGTAGCATATTTCGAAATCTGTAAATCCTTGGAATTTACGGGAATTGGGAAAACATAGATCATTGATTCATCACTGTAGTATCTATAATCAGTTTGGATTGTCAATAATCTATAATCTATAGTATCTTTTTATCTGGGAGGTTTAGTCGCTATAATTAAAAGGTTCGTTGTGGTCATTTAGGAAGAAATTAGACTTTTTGGGCATTCCAATGTCCATATGATGCATGATTGGTTACGGGAGTGCCTATATCATGTGGCTTATTTCGAAGAGAATTAGAAATCACTCTACAAATTACAAATTAGAGCTTGAAAGGATAACATATTAATTCTGTGTCGTATGATCAATGGGTATCTTCAAATTTTCAGCACCATCGAGGAGGTCATTACAAAATTTGCTCAATTGACTCCACAGGAGAGGGCGAAAAGGTACAAGAACCTCTCCCCTATGATCGTGACCCAATTCCTTTGCAAACTTTTTCTTCTGCAATGTGGTAGCATAAATGGCTAATTGATTTACATTTTTTTGGAACAGGAAACTGGAGAGCCTTGAAGTAAGTCTCTACATGTCTCTCTCTCTCTCTCTCTCTCTCTCTCTTGAAATAATTTTATTTTGGTGGGGGATAAGTAAACAATGATTAAGAGAAAGGGGAAATAAGGACTTTATTTATTTATTTTTTTGAAATATTTTTATTTTGGTGGGGGCCAAGTAAACAATGATTAAGAGAAAGGGGAAATAAGGACTTCATTTTTTCTTTTTCTGCCCGCTTCTGTCGTACAGAATAGTTTTGAATTCTCATCTCTTATACAAGTGTACTTATTTGTTTGCATGTTCTCTTTGAGCATATAGGCGCTGAAGAAAACATTTAAGAAGTTAGACCACGATGTAAACATAAAAGATTTTGTGGGTTCAAGGTATTTGTTTATATCTGTCAAATGTTCGTTGTATTTACTGTTGAATTTCATTACTAATACTATGGATCTGACTATTATTTTCTTTTTGTCTCATTTCTTGCAATATCTTTGCAGCTCTCAAGATTTTGAGGTACCAAGCATTTTTTATCATTAATTTTCACAAATCGAAAATAGGTTTCTGCATTTTATTAATTTTATATAATTTATCAGCAGGAATTGACCAATGAAGTTAGCATGTTGCGTGATCAGATTGCCGAAGCACATAAGAGACTGAGGTGCACCTTTGGAGCTTTTGTTTTTAAAGTATATAGCCTTTTCTTTTTTTGGCCTTGCAGATTATTGTTATCCCTTTGCAGATGCGCTTGTAGAAAATATATTTAATTAAGAAAAGTGTGGATTAGGTTTTTATACTCATAATAAGTTTAGTATTTAATCCATTTAGACCTAGTGTCTACAGGCCCGATAAGTATAAGCAACTTTTTCTTTTGTTATATCATGCCTATGATCAAATGGTACATGTTGACACTGTCTTTTTTAATCTATGGTAGTTTTGAAAAATCCTTGGTCGATATTTATTACAAGCATGGAGACTGATAGAGGGGTAAAGGTGGAGGTCTAAATAGGATATGGCAGATGATTCTCTTCCAATTGGTATAGACACCATTTTCGTTCAGTGAACTATTGCCAGCTTAATTATGCATCTAATCTGGTCCGCAAATATTAAAATTGGACAGAAGTGGTAAAATCTGAAACCACAAGATTTTGAGTCCTCAAAGTGAGCTAAAAGAAGTCTAAGTTTGTTACTGGGCTATTGCTATAGGCATGATCACATGCATGTTTAGTGTCGGGTATGGATTCCATTCTGTTTGTATGTTGATATTCTAGCGTTCTTGTTATCCCTTCAGTTATTGGAGGAATCCTGATAATATCAACAATATAGAACATCTGCAGCAGATGGAAGATATGATAAGGGAGTCGCTAAACCAAACACGTCTACACAAGGTATGCTACATGTGTTCTAGTTGGATAAATCAAAACAAGCATTTTTGTCCGTGATTTCATGCCTTTGGTCTAAGGATATGGTTTATACGTCTTTTGGCTTGATACTTAAATCAAAACCCATTGGCTGCATCATACTGGCATCAGTTTGGTCTTATGTACAGGTGTTTTTAAGGACATGCTAACTTATTTTATAGTGCATCTCTTGTGGACAGACCCCATGTTATCTATGTTTCTTACGGTTCTATGTTATATGTGTGAAGAAGTTGCTAGTGGGGCTTAAACAGGTTCTGAAATTTGGCAGGAAAATTTAAGACGACACCAACTACTGTCACAAGAGTTCACTAGCCAGGTAAGAGCAAAACTTTTCTTAATCATTTTTACAAGCATGCTTACATTTGAATATCTTGATAGAGTCAACATATTTTCATTTACCACAGCTTCAGAGTGGGATGTCTTTACCTTTGATAATGGACGAAATGCAAGCCGCTCAACCCCTGTTATGGCTTCCCAACTATGGCACTCAACAGATTACATTACCAAATGATCCTAACTTTCTGCAACCAGGGTGAGCCTACAATGGATTAGCACTCTGAGATTAATGTGTGAATGCTTGTAATTACGTTGTTGATTTGTGCAATCATATTCATGAAAATGAAAGCTGGTTTTTTCATCAATACATGCCATGTGTATAGGGTAATAAGATAAAATGGTTTTCTGCTGACAAAATCTGAAAAATGCTGCATGATATCTCTGTCCATGTGGGTGATTTTATTACCCTTGAATTTATACTGGGGACTGTCTGCAGAGATGTTGAATGCTCCATGGCTACATCGTTTCCAACCTATCCCAGTTACTTCAACCCTGGGAAGCAAATTGAAGTTGGAATATCTGGGCCAGTTGATAGCTTGCCACATGGTGATGGTGCTTTAAATGAATTAAGTGGAACTTCTTGCTCAACACTGCAACTTGGTGAGCAATATACATATCCTACATGTGATGGTTCCAACTTCCAAGATGATAAGAGACTGAAGCTTGATATGGAGATGAACCTACATGCCAATTGTGTGGAGAATCAACTAAATGGCAAGTTGGAGCTCTCTAGATCTCTATTTGATAATGAGCAGCATCATTGGGCTTCTATTCCGGGGTGTAGCATTCCTATGTACCAAAGCAATGGGTACCACCATGTAGGTTCTCTTTTAACTGCTTACTATAAAACTTAACAAAGTCCAGTTCATTTAAACTTATTGGACTTTCTGTCCGTATTTGTATTTCAAAAACATTAAAGATGTTTTAGACATTAATATACTATCCCTGCTTAATTAGGACAGAACTATTTGTATTCCATGTACCAAAGCAGTGCATATTGCATACCACCTGTCTTGTCTGATAACCTCAGGCATTTGCCTCCCTTACAAGAGAAAACCTCGCAGCTCCAAAAGCTCTGAATTGGGATTCATTTGCCTTACCATTTATCTGAGACATGATAGTTTTGAATTCCTTAGCCTCTTGTAGTGACTCAGAATGGATAATATTTTCACTCATTTCAGTTTTTATTATTTGATATGAACTCTAATATTTATGTTTCAATCCTTTAACGATTCCATCATCTCTTGCAGCAACCAAATTGATTCTATCAAATTTCACCAGTAATTGGAGGGTAACTGACTGAAGAATCGTACCTCTCGATTGATGTGGTCAACAATTTTGTTGGAATAGCATCCGTCTCCCAATTGCCAGACGAAATTATTTGATATACAATGAGATCAGAATGATCTTATGCTCCTCATTTTGCCGTTTAACCAATATCCTCGACTTGTAAATACAAGATATACGAGATCAGAGGTTGGTTTTTAGATTAGATTTTCATTTTTTTTTTCCTCCTCATGGAGAGCTGTAACATATTTGGGTTTTCTGGTATCCTTAGCTGTACATGGATGAACTCTTGTAAAACATGGAAGCAAATTTCATATTTATATCAAGTTTCGAGAAAATTAAAGAAATGGGTGTGAAGTGTGATAACACAATCTTTCTTGCTCAGTTAAACCAAGTTGCGTACTTGTACTAGATTTATATAAACTGCCACCATCCTGTACACTGATATTCCCATGTTTACAATCACACAGTTCACATCTTCTTGCACACAGATTTTAGTATCCTATCCCCTTAGTGTTTGAATAATGGTGTTGTGCCATGGGTCTGAAATGTGCTGCAAGAAGTTGTCAAATGGACCTTTGCCAGTCACGTTGTGTTGAACAATGAATCCCAAGAATGCCAACATTGCCAATCTCCCTGCAGTTGTACCGAAACTTGATTAGTTGCATCATTTTACACGTCGTTAAGAAATTTTAGCTAAGTTTGTTTCTGTGACATTTACCATTGGCTATCTCCTTTTCCTTGGCCTCAAGAGTTGGTTCAAAGTTGAGTGGGTTGAAAATTCCCCCTGGGTATCCAACATCATTTGGTGGCAAGCTGTATYGCTTGAAGATGGGATCTTGGTTCACACTTCCTGGGTTCTTTATGTCCTGCCACCTTCTGATTTCCACATAATGGAACAGAATGAACTCGATCACGAACAGGGTTGAGGATGATGCGAAATACTCGGCTTTGCCAGCATCATACCATTTCGGTACGTTGATGATTCCTATACTCGTGAAAACTTCAGGCAATAGCATGCCTGCAACTCCAAGCATTGCCCACCGGCCATTCACAAGCTCTGCCTGCACATACCATCTCAAATTCTCAGGATCCTCTGCAAGTCCCAGAGGATCAAACCCATTGTCACCTGCAAGACTGTAAACAGAAATGTCATAAGTTTGTTTGTTTAATTCAAATCTCAATTTCCAGATTTCTTGTGTTTGATATAACTTATACATTCAAATCTCAATTTCCAGATTTCTTGTGTTTGATATAACTTATACCTGCCATCAAGGTAAGCTGGCGATGGCAAACCCGGTAACCACTCTCCTTTCTTGGCCTCAACTTTGAAATAACAGGGCAATGAAGAAGCTGTTGGCTTAACAGACAAAGCTCTGTTAAATTTTCCAGAAGACCCAGAAAGAAACCTTGATCTCGAGGCGCATGGTCGGAAGACAGCAGCCGAAGCCTGGGTCATGGCAGTTGCCATTTTTCCAGCAAGAAAATGGTCTGGGGTAGAACAAGCTGGGTTTGGCTCAAGTTCAAGAAGTGTATTTTGTGCATGCCTTTGTAATTCCCATTTAAGTTTATGGTGTTCATTTGTTGTTGGAAATCAAGGGTTGGAATGGAAGATGTCTTAGGATCCAATGGCTGAGATGAGCTAATGAGTTTTTGGATGAGCCAATTGGATTAAAAGAGCCTTATCCTTTTATCTTAGGGGTCCACTGCCATATCCATAAATCTAGATCTTTGATTCTGTTGGTTGAAGAAAGATGGTGTAGGCCAACTTTTAGCCCATGATATGAACAAAGATTTTTCCCACAAAATGGGAAATATCTTACCATAAAATGGATGGCTGGCCATACAATTTAGAAAGAACATATTGATATTTTGAACAGTTTGTAGTAAATCACTATTAGATTAAAACGTTTTAGTAGTCCGATATAAATAATTTTAAGGTCAAATAACAAAATTAGTCGTCTGTGTCTTTGAAGAACTTTTTTTTAAAAAAATCCACTATGTTGTTCAACTTCCAATTTTGATTATAATATATATCGTTATGGTYAACGTGGTTACTTTACTAAAGGAGTRGACTTGTTTGATAAAATAAGGTCAAATGAGACTAAGAAAATTTGGTTTAAATTGAATTCCACTACCTTCTTCCATCAATATTTTAGCCTGTATGACCTTGTCTTAGTTGGTGGCTTACTCTGTTATACATGCTACATCCTCGTCTTTTTTCTAGTACAATAAATATGGGGGAGAGTTTGAACCTCGAAACTCAAAGAAATGAATAAAATTTCTAGTTAACTATTAAGTTACATTTCATAATAAAGCCTAAGGGACATAATTGAAACTTCTAAAACTCAAAGTAATAAATACGCCTACTATCCAACTTTATGAAAATTTAACATCATTTTAATACTTTAATATATTCTGAAATTAAGAAAGACCAAAAGTTAGTGGATGTTTATACTTAAAAAAAATTAAAATAAGGAAAACCAAAACCGTGAGTTAATTTTTAAGTGATTTAGTGATGTGGTTGGATTTGTCTTTTACAATGGCATAACTTAGCTCAAATTTTAGAAGTCCAAAAATGAGGCTAAATTGGGCCTATTTAATGGTATTGTTCCAACAACATTATTCCAATTTTTCCTATCCATTTAATTTGAATCCAACAAGCARAGTCTACTTTAAACACAATCTTTTAGGGAAGAGGGAAAAATGAGGAAAAAAAATTATTTTTAAATATTACAATTCGGTTGGATTCTTTTTAAATGTATTTTGTCATTAGCTAAACTCTAAAGAGGCCCTCCTCAACAAAATTTTTTATAAATTTATTTATTCAGTAAATTCAAAATTAAATATACCAAATAAGAAAGGAAAGGAGGAAGCTTTACATATATATTAGTATTCATAGACAATGACTTAGATGGAAGCTAGTCACTCATCTTAAACCTARATGTCTATCTTATATAATTAACGTTTACTCTATTAACTTTTTATCAAGTGAATTGTTTTCCAGAAAAGCTTTGTCCAAACGACCACCCAGAAGGTGCAACGTTGTAAGAGACAATCGAGCGACCATCACTGGTGGTGACCTTAAAGGAGAGACTTTGTCCCACAAGGTAATCGTTGCTCTGCCAGTTCTGACCCCAATTCCTCGTCAWTKCTCTCCAACTAGTTCTCGACCCTTTAATGGAAACCGCATGTACATCTCCCGCACCACCCACGTTGCTTACCAACACCAAATTGAAGTATGGATTGCCCTCGATCTTGAACTTAATGCCTCCTCTCCTCATGCATCGCACCCTGCACRTACCATAGTTAACTACAGTTACTAACTACTTATGTTTCTCAACAACTTGAAACATAAAAACAGGCCCGTTGCATTACCATACCTTCGATAAGCCACGGGGACGACACCGGCAATGTATTGAGCAATCGTCTGGAAGGCGGGCTGGGAGAGATCGAAATGGTGGAGGGAAGGGTCGCACCACCCACCGGGCGGACAGAAGTTGGTGGTGGTGACCACGACGGAGCCCGGGAGGCACCATTTTCGGTCATTCACACACTTGACCTCAAAGCAAGCTCCGCAGCTCAAGCCATCATCGAACAAGGCTGCACTCAGTGCAGTCGTTTTAGTCCCATATCCCTCGCTGTATACGTTCCCATATCCACAAGCCCCACCTGCAAAAAAAGAAAAACAACTCAATTCAGTGAACAAAAATGGTAAACAAATCAATAGAAATAGAGAAAGGAGAGTTTTGGTTAGTTATAATATATACATACCCAAAGTACCAGAGGCATCGGGGCCTCCATAGAAAGTAGCATGAGCACCATTGATCCACCTTCCACCATATCCACCAACCAATGAGCTCCACCATAAACAGAGAAACCCCACTAACAATAACAATACCCCAACAAATCCCATTATAAATCTCTGCACTAAGCACAAATTTAGAATTTAAATGGAAATCCCACGTATAGAACAGCACCAAGTTTCAATTTTTTTAATGTGAGAGTGAAGATGCTAATTGTTGGGGTTTAATAAATAGGCCGCTGCTTCGGGGGAGGATGTTGGCATTTAGAACTCTCCAACCCTGCTCAAACCACGAAACAAGTMTTGCAGGTCTTAGAGATGATGTCACAATACATACCTGTCACGAGTTATGTTAATAAAATTTTTTAACCTAATTCGTGACACTTGTACATTATGATTAATAAGTATCTTATCTATTTAGTAACATTCGAATTGACAAATTTTCAGAATTAATTGAGATTGGACTTTGATTTAAAAATACTTGAAATGCATTTGTCAAAGACCATAGTTTTTAGCAGGAATTACAAAAGCAGTAAAAAAAAATGTATTTATATCTATAACATAGGTTTAAAATTTTACAAAAAGTAACATAATTTACAAACTAATCATATGAGACCAACCACATTTTGTGACATTTTTGAAAAAATAAAAATAAAAAGTAATGATATTATTTATTGTTTTATGACATTTCATATACTTTTCTTTTAACTTTTAATTCAAATTCAATATATAATATAAGGCAATTAATGTCTTCTAAATAAAAATAAATAAATTTTAGGTGTTTATGGGTAGGTAGGTAGATCTCTACTTATGATAACCACTAAAAAATTGACGATTTAGAAAGATGAATTCACGAATAAAATAGAAAATAAAATAAATAGTTGTCAATTTTTTAATAGTTCGTTTTTTTTAGTACAACATGTGGAGATGAAAAATCGAACTCACAATCTCTTAGTTTGAGAGATATGTCAATTATCGTTTAGTTCGGTTCCCTTTAGTTTTTGAAAAAAATGCTTTTATGACTTGATTTATATGCMTATGTTAGTGTTTAATTGGAAGAGAACCTAATTGATGCCCACCTTGCACCTTCAATCATGGGAGAGTTTCGTATCGAATTAGCTCAATTATAGGCAGACTTTAATATATACCTCTAACGAGTCAAATATGTTAGAATATTTCCACAAAAATAAAATAATAAAATAAAATCTTCATTCTCGAGAATATAATTCTAAAAAGGAAATGGTGGAACAAAAGCAACAAGAAGCTCCTTTTCAATGAAAACTCCTAAATTTTCCTTGTCACTTAATTCTCTCTGTATTTCAATACGAAAATATTATTTATTTTAGATTTAAGTCTACATATTTTATGTCAACGAGCCTAGTTCAGTAGTAACTCGCACATAGTCCTTTTCTTAAAATTTCCATTTTGTAATTTGTTGTATTTGAAAAAAAAAATCCACATAATTTTCTTTTAGACTCTATTTAAAAAATATCAATAGAAATATTTGTTGTTTTTAAATAGTATGGAGAATTTTTCTTTTTTATTTGAGATTATGTTGTGCTTCTTTCAAGTTTAATGAAAGATTGACCTAAAATATTTTTATTTGTCTTCGTTTTCCAAATTAGTTGGGCTGAATACCATTATACCATAGTGGAATTACACATACACTTAGGAAGTAAATGAAATCAAAGACGATATTGATAAAATAAACCCATCAAACTTAGAAATTGAAATTATATAAAATGAGTCAAATTCATAGAAGACGTAGGTTTTACTAAGTATACATCTCGTTATGCTTCAAATATATATGCTCTAAAAAGCAGATTTTGCTTAATAAATAAATGGTGTGTTCTAAAGTGAACGAAATATTTCAAATTAATCGGTACAAGATCATGAAGAGAAGTTTTTTTTTT